ATTTAGAGGGAAGATATGATTGGTCAATTGTACTGTCATTTGACATTACTCTCTCGTTGAGTTACTATTGCGGGCCCTCTGTGAATGTACAGAGGGACCAACAAGCCCTCCTCACATAACTCGCAGAGACGGCATTTAACCCTTCACATTCCAACAGAAACTGAACAGGCAGATTCGAAGGATTTATTTCTTTGGAAATGTTATTTTAAATACAATTAAATCAAGTTATGTTGGTAAAACTAATGAAAAATGTAACAACAAAAAAGATAGGAAAAATTATATTTAAATAAAAATGTTTTTTTTTAATGTTTTCAAATATATATATGTTTTAATATCTTAGGCCCTCACAGAGGGCCCTGACGGCTCGCCACTGTTGGAACGGTACCTCCAGTATGCCTACATGACAAGCATTTTTATAATATACAGTAAACATATCTTTGACCTATTGCAAAATTATAAAATGAAATTCACCCCTGCTGTCATTCTGGCTTTCACTGTTCAAATGAGATGTCAACCATCAAAATGGGATAAGGGGTTCCAAAGGGTTCTCAAACGGATAGGTTATTAATTGATTTGCCTAATAGTTGCTTAAAATGCTACAATAACATGCCATGTACGGTCTCTCAGCCACCGTGGGCGGCGTAGTAGGGGGCGTGTCGTGTAGTGTCGTCATTTCGCTTTTCATCTGCCATGCCTCTCAGCCACCGTAGTGTCGTGTCAGGTGGGCGTGTCGTGTACCGTCGTGTACTGTCCGCGGCCGCAGCTAGACCATGGCTGCTTCTCAGGTCGATTAAATGAAATCCTTGCTTCCCTCACTTGCGTTGTTTCCCTGCGTTTAGTCCCTCCCACCAGGGAAGCATGGAGGGACGCAAGGAAACCACGCGAAGCAGGGAAATGAGTTTTAAGAGCAATGGGACGTCCTTTCCTCCGGAGCGTCACGTGAAGCGACGTCCGTTTGTGATGACGCTGCACAGCTGATCGTCTGACAGCAGCCAGCTCTGTCCCAGTTATTTCCACACACCCCCCGCCTCTGTTAGTACACATTTACTGACACAAACATTTGTATCATCTGTTGTAGACCCCAATAAATAAAATAAAATAAGAACTAATTCTCAAAAAAGATAAACGCCATTCTTAAAATTTATAAACGAACAATAGTTTGATTAATATTGATTAGAGTGCACAATAGAAATAAAATAATTGAGAGAAGAAAAAGATGTTATCTATCAAAACTCAGTTAGATTAACATTCATTGGATTGCACACTTTGTTTGTTTGTTTGGATATGTAGTAAATTAACATTTCAATAGCACTTAATGACTGACTGAATGGAAATGACAATAAATGAAAATGTAAAACGAAAAATGCGATCATGAAAATGTTTCCAAAAAATGAATTAAATTATTTTTGACCACTTTGTTGTTCAGATATATCACATATTTGTAACTAAATGATACATGAATTGAAACAAAACATGGTATAAACTGAGGAGTGACTCCCGTGAGGTTCATGTGTTTTCTTCACTCTGCTCTCATGTCAAGAAGCATCAGATCAGAGCCCTAGAGAGATCAGAGTTACGACACTCTTTGATGTCGCCGCCAGCCGGTCACGTGGTTTATGTATGCCGGGATAGTTCAAAACGCACTTCCGTTGCAATGCTTCTCTATGGCAAAAACAGCACAAACATGGTCAAAATTGTCATAGATTAAACCAACGCTGTAATTTTTTAAAGATTGCTTTCATATTTACATGATGTGGTTACACTTTGTATGGATTGGCACTATTTATAAGTTTCGTTATTTAACGATATTTTGAGGGGAAAGTGTGGTAGCACAAGCAGGCTATGTTGCTGTCACTGCCAGGGCAGTCACGTCCGTAGTATAGTTGCGCTGCGCTGTCATGTTCTTCTATGGGACAGACAGACAGCAGCGATTGCGTTATTGAATGGTAAATATATATATTAAAAAAACACACACACCCAAGTACTTTTTCAGCTGTAATTGCATTATTGCATACTTTTTATTGACAGTTTTGCATTTGGAGAGGCAGGTTGACAACGGAAAGCTTGGTAGCCTATTACTTAGATACGTTTTACATTTTTACATGACCATGTTTTAGGCTCATCCTTCATTCACTGCTGTAGAGTAGCCTATTCAGTAGGCTATTATTTGTTTAAGACTGAATAATACCTTTGAAGAACAATCATTAAACTAGTGTGTATATTACAATACAAAGGAATCTATCCTAGCATGCCGTCAAGCATTAAAAAGTAGCGCTAGGCTAGTTGTACAGTACAGATGAGTTAACAAGGAACAGTAAAAAAAATAAAAAAAAGTACAGTCAACATGTCACATAATGAAATGTTAGTATATCCCAAAATTCAATGAAATATTAAATGAAATATTTATCACAAACGCCACCTCATTTCTACTAGTGCTAGCAGTTAAGTCATATCATACAGAAAAAGCCGACTAAGGATGGCTGACACGGTCAGGTTCAGCAGATAAAAACCAAAATAACAATAAAAACACATAATCAATCTAAATCCTGCTTGTTAGTTACCCAGCATCATTGATATATAAGCTGCTAGCGATTCATTACTGAAATATTACCTTCAAAGCTGACGAAGTCGCGCTAGCTAACTAGCAGGCAATGCTAGCTAAATTGGTTGTAACAACCAAGATAAAATATAGATAATTACGCTGTGCATATACAAATGAAGACCAGTATAAGCATCATAAAGGGCCTCTGATACAATATAGACAGTTGACAATTCAAAAGAGTTCGATATTTCAGCAACTTACCTCTGGAACTAATCGACGCGCCGTAATGTAAGTGAATGAGGTTCAACGCCCAAATGACAATATTTTGAACTATTTCGATGTCCATACCCCGGAAGTAGGCGCCGCCATTTTTTACAACGGAGGTCTATGGGAGTGTCGTAACTCTTATCTCTCTAGGGCTGCTTCTCAGGTCGACTATTTTCATTTCCTCGCTCCTCGGTCCTCGGTCTCACCGGAAGTTGATTTGCCCGCGCCATCTTGAGTACCGTCCCATGGCTCTTATTTCTGCCGGAGGACCGAGGATCGAGGAGCGAGGAGCGATCATGGAGGAGCGATAACCGAGGAACCACCAGACCATCCTCCGATGAAATCCTCAGACACTCGCTCCGCCCCCTTACTGTGTATCGCTCACTGATTGGACGAGGCAGTGCATGCACTGATCTGATGCTTCTTGACATGAGAGCAGTTTCCCAGCGGAGTGAAGAAAATACATGAACCTCACGGGACTCACTCCTCAGTTTATACCGTGTTTTGTTTCAATTCATGTATCATTTAGTTACAAATATGTGATATATCTGAACAACAAAGTGGTCAAAAATCATTTTATTCATTTATTGGAAACATTTTCATGATCGCTTTTTTCGTTTCACATTTTCATTTATTGTCATTTCCATTCAGTCAGTCATTAAGTGCTATTAAAATGTTAATGTGCTACATATCCAAACAAACAAACAAAGTGTGCAATCCAATGAATGTTAATCTAACTGGGTTTTGATAGATAACATATCTCTTTTTCTTCTCTCAATTATTTTATTTCTATTGTGCACTTTAATCAATATTAATCAAACTATTGTTCGTTTATACATTTTAAGAATGGCGTTTATCTTTTTTGAGAATGACTTCTTATTTTATTTCATGTATTTGGATCTACAACAGATGATACTAATGTTTATGTCAGTAAATGTGCACTAACAGAGGCGGGGGTGTTTGTGGAAATAACGGGTACAGAGCTGGCTGCTGCCAGACGAACAGCTGTGCAGCGTCATCACAAACGGACGTCGCTTCACGTGACGCTCCGGAGGAAAGGACGTCCCATTGCTCTTAAAACTCATTTCCCTGCTTCTCGTGGTTTCCTTGCGTCCCTCCATGCTTCCCTGGTGGGAGGGACTAAACGCAGGGAAACGACGCAAGGATTTCATTTAATCGACCTGAGAAGCAGCCTAGGGCTCTGCATCAGATCAGTGCATGCACTGCCTCGTCCAATCAGTGAGCGATACACAGTAAGGGGGCGGGGTGAGTATCTGAGGATTTCATCGAAGGATGGTCTGGTGGTTCCTCGGTTATCGCTCCTCCATGATCGCTCCTCGCTCCTCCGGCAGAAATAAGAGCCATGGGACGGTACTCAAGATGGCGCAGGCAAATCAACTTCCGGTGAGACCAAGGACCGAAGAGCAAGGAAATGAAAATAATCGACCTGAGAAGCAGCCCATATTGCCCAAAAGGCTCGTTCACATTAAGCACGTGAATTTGCGTACACGTAACAGGCACCGCGCGTTCATGACAGCATGGTACTGGATTTATATTAACGAGGCGGCAGCTAGCGGCTAACTAGTAAATGATGCTAACTTACACATCAATCGTTTTGAACCACTTTAATATATACAAATGTATATGTTGAAGCCTGTTATGATCAATTGTGAGTTAAAACTTTATCTAAAAAGTAAAGCTGATGATGGATTACTGTGGTGGAGTTAAAATAACAATATCCTATTTCTTTTTGAAATGTGATGCGAGTAAAAGGATAGTAACTGTGATTATTCATGTGAAGTAGCCCACAAGTAAATGTTCCCATAAATACCAATATCACAGTACAACACCCCTTGTTGTTAAATACCAACCATGTGTATATATATATATATATATATAAATATATATATAAATATGCCGCTAAAACTGTGTAATATACCAGGCTGCTAAATCCTCCAAACTGTTGTTGCTGGATGTGTATTTTGTGAAATGTGTATTTTTTTTTAAATTATAATTTCTTGTTTTGAATCTTTAATACTTGTATGCATACTTTAAGTAACATTAGGCTGTCTTTGGCTCTTTTCTGCTGTAACAATGTAAATGTATTCTGATCTAATTGATGTTTTTGTCAGTTTGTTTCCCTATATTGCAACACTTATTTGGTTTAAGATTATTTCTCCTTTTTTTACAGACATCCCCAACCATAGTGGAATGCTGTTGTAAAGGATTGCATTGATCCGTGCATCAATACCTTCACCCAGCTTTGAGGCCTCCAATGAATGAACATCATCTTGTGGCTGGGAAAAATGTGAACAAATAAATCTCACAAAGAGTGACTTTCTGGTGTAATCATTATAATATCAAAGACAAGCACTTTAAGTAACAATATATAAAATCATTCAGCAGCAGAGGATGGGGTGGAAACAGCATTTCTAACTAAGATGATTACAATATTACAAGTTAAACATCAAGATGAACATACTATTATTAATTTAAAAAGTACATGGGAAACTTAAATATCCTGCAATATACCATTAGCAGTATTGGAACAAATGTGCAAAAACATTTCTAAAATAAACAAACAAACTGAGGGCTTTCTTCCTGAGCCGCTGGGAGTAAAGGTCCTCCATGGATGGCAGCTCCGCCCTGGTGATGTTCTGTGCAGTTTTCACCACCCTTTGGAAAGCCTTACGATTGAGGGCGGTGCAGCTGCCGTAACGGGCCGTGATGCAGCCGTGTCCGTGATGGACACTGACGGCCCCTACCCACGGAGGCGTGCGTTGCCGCTTGGCAGTGGGCGTGTCTTGAGCTTGGGGAGTTTACGCGAGCAACGCGACCAACAACCAATCACATGAATCTCTCCTGTCAATTGCATAAAAGGTTTTACATGTCACACTTTACATGATGAACATTTATGACATTAATGTCTATGGTGCTATTTTACGCAACATTCCATGCTGGCTAAATAATGTATATGTCTGCTAGCTGTCCATTCAAACGAAGTACACTGGATATAAACTCCCCAAACAGGCGAACACCTACCAGTTTCACCCACTATCTCTGCAACCTCCCTCCATGCCTGGCTCCTCCGGTTTGTATCCCGGTAGGTAAACAGGGACTGATCATAAAGCACCGGGTGATTCCCTACCGCTACGATTATTTTCTCCTCCATTTTTTGTTATATGAGGAAATGAACTGCGGTCTGGCTCTCCCAGCATACACGCGGTTTGATTGGCTAGTGCTTGTACTGGTAGATTTGCATAAACGGGATTTGATTGGCTGACGCCTCCGTCGAGGCGTCAAAAGTAGAACATTGCTCTACTTTTGCAGCGAGCACCACGAGAAAAGCTACGCTTTGCTCCCACAATGCAGTTCGGCGAATCATGACGTCACCACATTCAAAGTGAATGGGCAGAAGCGTTGAAGCGGCAACGCACGCCGCCGTGTGTAGGGGCCTTGAGGAACCTAAAGCTGCTGACTCTCTCTACCGTAGTCCCATTGATGGCGATGGGGGGGGCGTGTCCCTCTCTTTGCTGCTTCCTGCAATCCACAATCAGCTCCTTGGTTTTGCTGACGTTGAGATGGAGGTTGTTATCCTGGCACCAAGATGTCAGGTTTTCGACCTCCTCTCTGTACGCCGTCTCGTCGTCTGGGTGAGGCTGGGGAAGATGAGTGAGGGAAAGAGAGAAACAAAACAGGGGGACTAAGATGAGTGAGGGAAAGAGAGAAAAAGACAAGGGGACTAAGATGAGTGAGGGAAAGAGAGAAAAAGACAAGGGGACTAAGATGAGTGAGGGAAAGAGAGAAAAAGACAAGGGGACTAAAGTTTAAGAGAGAGGAAAAACACAGAATGTGAGTGAACAATTTAATTAAATTACACATTTAAAAAAAATAGTGCGAGTAAGTGAAGACATCCTTACAAGGAGGACTGTTTTCAAATTTAAAAGTTATTCTTGTTAAATATACATATCCTGTTGAGGCTAGAATCCAAAATGCAGAACCACTTTAGATTGTAGCCTCAAGGGACTGTTTAAGGTTACATATTACGTACATACGTACATACGTAAACATATTATTTCCAAAATTGGTGAAATGAACTCCATCTCTTAGAAATATGCCAGGGCAGTCAAACTTAATGCAAGGATGCCTTACACTCTACCCAAACCACTAACACATTTACCCATCTCTGTTCACCCACATTCTGGCCTTGTTCAGCTTTCCCGGATTGGCTTTCCTCCAGTGACATCTCTCATTGATAGAAGATAAAATTATCTTCATCTCTGAGAAGTTGTCACTGAGGGAAAGCAGGTCCTGCTTCATCGCTGTGACAAGCTCCACACCTTTGATGTTGCCAAGGTCGTTGCCGCCACAGTGGATGAGCAGGACATCCGGGACTGTTCTTCCTCTCAAGGACTAATAGAAAAAGGGAAGAAGGTTCCTCCACCTCAGACCACCCTTGCCAAACCACCACACACGGCAATTGAGACCCAGGTTGCTTCCCATGGTGTGTCTGGCTCTTTCTTCCCCACGTCTAACGTAGCTGCTCCCTATTATCCACACATTGGGACCTAGATAGAATAAAATATATTGAAAAAGTGTTTACTGGTGATCATCTTTTAGAATAAGGCGGTACATGTAGCCTGAGTTGTCATATCATTTTCATCATATTTTTAAGACTACACAAGTTTAATTTGTATATTATATTACATATAACTCTATACTTGTATATAGAATCATGATGAAACTTTATAAGGATTAAGATTATATATTAATATTACATTAAATAATGCATGACGATTTCATGCATTATTACGAAGCAGGATGTATCAAGTCACTGACTTTTTGTGATAAGGTCACAATCAACTGATTTCACTTATCAGATGTAAAAATAAGGTACAATATATTTGTTTTTGCCATATGAAAGTAAAGGGTATGCAATCAAAAAATTACTGAAACAAAATGAATAAAAATTCTTATAAAAACTATACAGCACCTTGTCCAAGTATGGCGGGAGGCCCACTTTCCTTCAGGATTTCCTCTCTGGATGTCGATCCGGCTATTTCTGCCATCTATAAATAAAGTACAAATGATTAGCTCTTCACGCCTCTTTAAAATAATATGTGTTCTTGAAGATTCTGTATGCATCGTCGTTTACAATGGTAGGGACATTGCATTGGAAATTAGTTGTGAAAAATACATTTTTAGTTTTTTCATCTCACATTTATAGATTTTAAATAGAAATATATATAAAACGAATTATAAATGCAAAGTCTGGTTTCTAGAAAGTTAGCTAATTCATACAGAGTTAACATTGCAGAACTGCTGGCATGCATACATTTCTAGCATTTTGGTTAACTATGAAAAGTATGGAAAATTACTGTGCAAACACCCAACATTAGCTTAGCCACAGTAGCGGTTGCTGATGAGTGGTTTGGCTTATTTTACTATTTTATATGAGAACATGTTACATTACATACAGACATTAAAGAGGCAGGTTAGAAAATAAATATGTTTTCGTATCTTACTTTTTGGAGCAAACTGTTGTCGGTTGTTAGCATAGACTGTATATATAAAGCGTTGTCTCTTTAGCCTCAGTGACGTGACAGTGAACACTGAACGTGACCGCGTGTGAAGGGGGAGGTGCTGAACATGTCACATCACATGAACGTGCCGGGCAGCGCGGTCCCGTGGGTTAGATGCGCGTTCATAATGCCGAGGGAAATAACTCTCAGAATAACGTTATTAGCACATTTTTACAACTTGAGGAACGAATGTTTTTAATAAGGGCTATACAAGTCTTCATACTGGGTTGTTTATTTAGTTTAAAAAAAATTATCCAACGAGTTACAGACCACTCTTTCCCCATGTAAGTCAATGGGAAAAAGTGTTTCCGGGCCCAGCAACCAAACGGAAGTGTAGTACCGCCGTTTGGCCACTACGAATATTCTCATCAGACATTTCATTTTGTACACCACCGCATCTTTTGTGTAATTAAATGCTGTTAACTTTTATAAGCTTCCCTTGACTCTTTTCAGTCTCTCCTGCCTTCAGGGTTTTTGAATACACTAACAGCTTCCTCTTTAAAGATCAAATGCAAAGCTTTTTGTATAATTGCCAGTACAATCGAAATCATATAGCTACAACACTATCTAAGATATTGCAGTATTAAAATCGGAGATAATATGAGTCTGGCAATGCGCAATATTAATTTTGTTCAACCCCCAACACCAAGTCCGACGATTTATTTTCTCCGCCGCTCCTCCGCAAGATGGCGGCGCGTGACGTCAGATGTGCCAAACATATTTCCACCTGGCTTATCAATCACAGCGGCTTCCGCCGATAGTACAACTAGTTTCGTCTATCATGTCTGATTCTGAGTAGACTATAGACTAAAGCTTTAGGAATCCAAACTATAACATATAATAAGTACCCTGTATCAAGATTGATGCAAAACAAGTGAAATTTTACCTTTTTAGAGAGGTTTAGAAAAATAAATTCCAGGCGGACTCACCTCACAAGGACGAGGTGGATGGGAATGCTAACAGTGAATTAGCCCCGAGCAAAAAATTCTAACCTATCACTCCTAGCGCCCTTATTACTTATCCTAGCTCCACATCCAACACATTGTTTATGATCGTAAAGACACAGAATCTAACGGTGCCCACCTCTATAAGCAATACAACTGCAATTCCGTTATCTGCGTTATCTACTGTGCTCCGTGCGCTTTGAAATCTAATCAAAAGTTGTTTACCTCAATTATTTGGCGTTTCTGCATCGCCCGGCTCTTTCGTTCTTTCAGTGGTTTCTTGTGCTGATATGTGGAGGGGACGGCTCCGGGTTTCAGCCTCCGACGTGCTATTAATGCTTCTCCACCAACAGACTTCATGATAGCAGGATCAACGTCGTATGCATCACACGCGAAGTGGTCAGAACACAACTTTCTCCATTTTGTCGGTTGCCATCCAACACGATTCACTAAAAAAAAAATCCATTTTTTGCGGATGATTTGGTCTTTGGGAAATGCATGTAAAACTCTCCCAGATCCCGCACCGTTCGTACAACAAAAAGCTCAACAATAACCCATGTTAATTCAGTTGTCTTTTTGAAAAACATGTGACCGAGACTGCCGAGTCGTGATATTTGGTCCAGAGACTGTTTGGCCACTATTACGTCACGCGCGCGGAGGCTGCTGGGAATTACATGTCAGAAATTCAGACGGCTTTGGGTCGAGTTTTGGATCAATAAAAAGCTTTTTTTGGGGTGTATTATCTCGATTTAAATCAAATAAAAAATACAGGCAGTCTTAAAAACAACATTTCTATAAAAATGTAGCATA